GACATTTGACACTTACTAGCTGTGTGACCCTGGACAAGTCACTTAACCCCGATTGCCAAAGCAAAAAAAAAAAATTGGAAAGAGGGGAGGGTTTGTAAGGGAAAATAATGAGTTTAGTTTTGGACATGTTGAGTTTAAGATGTTTATAGGACATCCAGATCAAAATGTCCAACAGGCAGTTGGAGGTTTGAGGTCAACCAAGCAGATTATGTGGGCTGTCTCCTCTCACTATCATGTAAGTACCTTAAGGGTATAAACAGTCTTCACTTTTGTGTTGTGCCCTCAGCACATAGCACAGTGTTTGACACGTGGTAGAACTTAATGAATCTGTGCTTTAAAATTCATTCATTTACAACTTATTTCATCTCTTTTTCTGAGATTTGGTTATTGAAATTCTCTATTTGAAGTTCTTTCGAATATTTCACATTTTTTGTAAATATTCTCCCATTTAATTTGTTACAGATTTGGTTGTCATATATTTGGTATTGCTATTTCTAATAGGCTCCTTTATCTCTTCTCATTTCTTATTTTCTTTTTCATAGTGGCATTTTTATTAGATTAGCTATATTAGATTATGAGAACTGAAAAAACACTTTTCAGTTTATTTATGAATTCAATGTCGATTTTGCTTTGAATTTTATTCACCTCTTTTATTTTCAGAATTTCTACATGGTTGGTTAGGGGTTGGGGAGGAATATTTAACTTTTATATATATTTTTTTTAGTTACATGACCAATTCATCAATCTCTTCTTTCTCTCTTTGGTTAATTAAAGTGTATAGAGATATAAAACATCTCCTAAGGACTGTTTCAGCTGTATCACAACAGTTTCAGTGTGTCGTCTGTCTCACTGTTGTTATTTTCTTTCATGAAATTAGCTCTTGTGTCTGTGTTTTGTTCTTTAACTCACCAATTCTTTAGGACTGAATTAATCTCTATTTAAGTTTAAATCCTTTCCTCAGATTCTTTATTATAATTTTATTTGATTATGTCAAGACAAAAATTATTTAGTATTTCTAATTTTATGCACTTGCTTGTGAGTGTTTTATGCCCTAGCATATGGTTAATTTTTATAAATGTGCCATTTTAGCTGAGTCTACTCCTAATGTAGAAGGGCAGCTAGGTAGTAAAGTAGATAGAGCACTGGGCCTGGAATTAGGAAAACCTAAGCCCAAATCCAGTCTCAGACACTTCCTAGCTGTGTGACCCTGGGCAAATCACTTAATCCTGTTTGCCTCAGTTTCTTCATATGTACAATGAGCTAGAGAAGAAAATGGCAAACCACTTCAGTACCTTTGCCATGAAAACCCTAAATGGGGTCATGAAAAGTTGGACACAACTGAACAACAGATCCATTTCTCTCTGACTTGGATGCACTTTTTCTCTGAGGGCTTAGATGCTACACAGCTCGGTGCATGTGTTATTATGATTTCATTGTCTGTGTTGCTTCCCTGCTAATCTCTTTTAACTATGTTGATTTTTTCTGTTGCATTGTCTGAAATCATGATTGCTACCCCTGCTTTTTTGACTTCATCCAAAATAAAATCAGTTCTGTCCTGGTCCCTCATATTAACTCCATGGGAATCTTGATGTTATAGGCAGGTGCCTTTCCTATAAACAACATCTTGCTGAATTCAGGTCTCTCACTGTTTGATGTCTCTTTCACATTCCTGGCTGTGACCATTCGCTGTATATTTCCCTCCATCACATTTTCTCCTAATTGTTCCTTTTCCCCAAGAAGACACTGAAAAAGGATAAATGTGACTGATGTTAGTGATTTCCGACTGAAACAAGCTGCCTCCATGACACTCGCCCATGCCTCTCCTCTGACCCCAATCCCTTGCTCCTATCCTTTCTTTTTTTTCCTTTCAATCTCCCCCTTTGTGACCCATTCTATAAAAGGAAAGTTTTTGTTTGTACCCATTCTCTCCTCCACACACCCTTGCTCTTACATCTTGGTCTACACTTTCCCTGTCTCTGTGCCTCAAGTATCTCCCAACTCCCATCTCTCTGTTTGAGTTAGTGTATTTCTATACCAGATAGTTTTTTCATACACTTGGCATGTGCTTAACCCTCCTCTGTCCAGTTCATGTGATGCCCTCTCCCCCCGACTCCTTTCTCTAAGGTTCTATATTTTTCTTCTTTCACAATCCAACTAAGAGAACCAGTAAGCTCTGCCCCCTTCTTCATTTCTTCACTAGTATTTCCCTGTCCTTTTCTTTTCTATCCTATGACCCTCAAAGTAGGACAGAACTTTCCCATGCCCCTGAATTTGTGTGGAGGAAATAAATAGCTGTCCCATACAGATTCGTGTTTTACATTCAATATGTTTCTGTGCTGCTCCTCTTTCAGGGAGACCCTAGATATGAATCAAAGCTAAGCTTTAAGTAATTTTCCTGAGGGCTGCAGCCAGAGTGTGAGAAAAGGAGACTAGCCCCTCTCTTTAGAGGCCAGGCTCCACCAGGACTGAATGTGATCACCATATGCACAGCTCCAAAGCAGAAGGGCCCTTTTGTGGAGAAGAAGGCCCAACACCCCTGTACCTACTGTTATGTTTCCATTTGCTCCTTCAATGGCCTCAGCTCCTTCTGAGCCTCAGCATGGCTGTCACTATTTGTGCAAGACTTTGCCACCCACTTAATGTTCATCTTCTGTTACTGGTTCATCCTCATCCTGTTTGTATCTTTTCAAGATCTGAATTGCTCAGCAAGCTTCCTGTGCACACACATCAGCTTCATGGACAGCTCCCCCTTTTTCCCTCTTGGTAGAATGGCTTCTCTGTGGGTCTTCAGACACTCGTTCTTGAGAGTTTCCTATTTCCAATGGCTTCACTTTCCCTCTTAAATTTCAGTTCACAGGATTCTCTATCTCCCCTTCTTCTAAGGGGAGATATTCCCAGAGAGCCAGCCAGATTATGCCAGGCTTCCCTCTCTTCTCTATCTCTTCCCACCAGACTCCCCATTCTTCCACCCCAGCCACCAGTTCCTCCCTATCAGGAGGAAGCAGAACCAGGAGAGACTTTTCTCCATACAGGATACAATGATTAGTAAGGGAAGTCAGTGACTTACTGGCCTTTCTGCTCTGGGCACCAGTCCAAGATGATGCCCCAGAGACATAGCATCAGGATAAACATAATGTTCTTCACTTTGATTCAGGAAACTGTCTGCCCAAGTGTAGGATGGGAAGGTCTGACCAGAGGTTATTTTCGGGCTCACCTGCACAGCAGATGACAGTGCCAGACCCCAAAGTCAGGACTCTAGCATCTTGAGAGATCAGCAGACCCAGCTGTGTGACCCTAAGCCTCAGCTTCTTCATCTGTAATATGGGGGTAACATCGCATCTCACAGTGTTGTTTGTTGTGAGGTGTGATGGCGTGTTTGAATTAAAGGAAGACAGACACTCTGCACTCACAGGAGACTTGCCTAGTTATAGTTAATGATGTTAAAGCAAGCCACTTGGTGCCTTTTGTCCTGGTGAGTCCTATTGGCTATGCCAGGTCTACAGACTGAAGGGCCCCGAGGGAGAGGGAAAGTTAAGCAGCCCCCAGCAAGCAAGGCTTCCAGAGGAGCCAGGGTCCAGCCCTGGGTGCTCAGGGGCCCCATCAGCCCCTGGGAGAGTCCCTTGGGTGACGTTCCTCTCCTCTCTCTAGGGCCAGGGACAAGTCTGAGTCAGACTGCCACTGAAGAAAGAATCAGGCCATTATTTCCACCAAAGCACACCTCTTTACAAGGTACATCTGAAGGAAAGACAAAGGCTTCTCAGAGGCTGCCAGAGATGCTGTGGCTAATGACCTTGCTAGACTCGTGGTCTTCCAAAACCTTCAGTGTTCTTTGTGCCCAAGACCTTGCCTTGTGCCCTTGGCAGCACATCCTGGTGCACACAAATTCCCTAGGACATCCAATGTAGGGGAACACCAAGACAGCCACATGGGCAGCAAAGAGCCCCAGAAACCACAGGTATGTGTCGGGGAGAAGAAAAGGGAAAGGGAGGAAGGAATAAGCTTTCATGAAGCACCTACTATGTTCTGGCCACTGGGCTACATACTCTCATTCAACCCTCGCAATGGCCCAGGAAGGAGGATGGAGTGCCATTATTCCCATTTTACAGTTGAGGAAACTTCGTGAAATGACCTGCCCAGCAGCAGAAGTGGAATTGGAACTGGGACCTCTCTGAAGGTCCGACCCAGTGAGAAACTCTTCAACAAGTGCTTTTATTAAGCACTTACATGCTAATGATGAAGGTCACACACAAAAGGAAGCTTGAAGGGGTTAGGGGCATGGGGAGGAGAGAGGTCCCCAGCTCAGAGACAGGGAGAAGTCCAAGGAAGCCCCCACTGAGGACGGCATCCAGAGGACAGGCAAGGACAAGCCAAGTGGCCCCTTAGCAAGATCGGAACGCAGATCGCCAGCTCTATTTACCAGCAAGACCAGCACCCCCTGCCCACATGGACTCACACGCCATGTTCATCCTTCCTTCTACACTCTCAGTAACACCTGTATCTTATATTCCCCAGCACATAACTCACCTATACATACCTTATGCAGGCAAGCATGACTTTCAGGAATGATGACCAAGCAGGACCCCACCCACCTGGGCCTCAACAACTAGGCTCAGGCTCAGAACCCTAGCCTCCATCTATGACCCCCCACCTGTCTATTCCAACAGACGGATGCCGGCAGGCTGGACCCTCAGCCCACAGAGCTGGCTCAGGGGCCCTGGCTCCACCTGCCTCACTTTCCTGGGATCCTGCCCAAGCTGGGGCTGGGCCTGCTCTGGGCCTGCTGAGCTGTCCCAAAGGCTCTGTCAGCCCATTTTTCCCCTGCCCCCCCCTCCCCTGCCCAGGAGTGCTTTGGCCAAACCACAAAATAATCCAATGTCACCAGAGCCCTAAGGGGAAGGTAGGGGGTAGGCGGTCCCATCTACATAAAGCCCAGGGAACCAGCTGCCTGGAACTCCCAGTTCTGGATCCCAGGGCAGGTGAGGGAGCAGCTGGGTGTGACATCCAGGGCTGACCAGTCCTCTCTTCACCATGAAAGGGCCTGCGACTATGACTCTGCTTCTCCTTTCCCTTGCACTTTGCTGGTCTTCTGGTGAGTGTCTCCCATGATTAGGGCTAAGGGTGAAAGTGAAGGGCAATAGGGCTGGTGGCCCAAATGCAATCGGATGGACCCCTGGACCACAATCATTAGAAGGTGGTGCTGGTGTCTCAGGTCCCCCGCCCCTCATGCATGTGGTCGCCAAGGTGCAGGGGTTCCAAAGGGTCCAAAGATCAGGGTCTGAGCATGGCAATCTCCTGTATCCAAAGAGGCCCCTTGTCACAAACACCCCCCCCCTTCCCTACCTCCAGGGATCGCTTCAGACAATGAATTTTTCTTGGAGTTTCTCCAGACACTGCTGGCCGGGGCCCTGGAAGACCTCTATGAAGGGCCACTGGCCTCCTACAATATCAACCCTGATTGCAAGGCCGCCATGTCTGAACTCAAGTCATGCATTGATAACCTAGCTCCCATGCACAAGGCTGAATTGGTCAAGCTGCTGGTACGAGCGCCCCCCACCCCTGCCTGGACCACAGGCACCAGATTTCTTGTTTCTGTGACTCCCTGGCTCCCACCTCCCCCCTACCCCAGACCAACAGCTCACCATCTTTGACCAAATCTCTTGGCCTGAGTTTATCCATCCAAAGGAATGGTGGGGGTAAGGTTCTCAGTGACCCTCTCAGGACCCCACCTGAGCAGTTTTGGGTGGGCTTCTCCTCAAATTAGGAAGGATCCCCCCAACTTCCACATCTGTATTTTAGGTGGTTGTATTGGACAGTCATGGGGGTGATGCCTAGGAGCAGTTGAGAAGACCAAGCGTGCATTGAAAGACCTCTGCCCTGCCTCTGCCCCATCCTCCTGGCTGTTACCTGGTCTTGTCCTCAGCAGATATTCTTCCCTTTTTCTTGCCCCTCTCCTGATGTCCCTGGGTTATCACCACCTACCTCCATCCCCCTCCAGACAAACCTGTCCGAAACCACTTTGTCAATAAAGTCGCAGTGGGCTGTTCTTGGCTTGTGTCCCCTGTGTGCAGCCTAGCTGTGGAACTGAGGGGTCTGGGGTAGAGGGAGAGAAGGGAACATATTGTCCTGGCCCCACCCAAGGCTCTCTCTAGAGCCCCAGGGGAAGAGAATGGAAAAAAGGGGTGGGAGGCCCCCTCCTCCTCCAGAATAATAGCCCGTCCTACTCTCTAAGGCATCTACACTAAAATCTACCCCCAAAACCATTAGCTCTGTCTGAGACCCTCAGGTACGCAGACAAACATGAGGGCACGGCTATCCAGATGGGCATTGCAGACAAGGAAATTGGTGCTGCAGAGGGGCCCTGCTTCTCCCAGGAGAGAATAACCCTGAGCCAGGTGCTGTTTCAAACTATGTCCAGGTGGCCTTAAGGAAAACTCCTGGACAAGGGGCTGGTGGCACACGCCCAAGGGGAGCAACAAATTCTTGAGGCCAGCCTTGGGTACATGTCAGCTGCCAACACGCCTAGCCCTGGAAGGCCTCAGAGCTCTCAGCTCTGTTCTTTAAGTGAATCACGTCACCCTCTGAGCCCCCAAACACATAGGATCCCTGAGCAGTCTCTGAAAAGGAGTTTATGCCGGTAGGATGGACATGCACAAGCACCCTCCTTGGGCTCCAAAGATCACAGTTGGGACAGAGAGGGGGCAGCCAACAGGCAGAAGGAAGCAAAACCCAGGAAGAGACAAATCCCAGAGGGATGAGGAGGAAGGATTCAAAAATCCAAAGGAGCAGTCAGGAACACAGGAGAGACCTTAATCCAGGAATCTGGGGGCAACCAAGCCACCTGGAGAACTGAGACAACTCCTGGACTCAGCCTGGGATCTGTGATAAGACTTCAGGCAAGACAGGAGGCAGTCACTAAGCTAGGCTCACCATCACTCACTGTCCTGGGCACAGAGACCCAACCTCCCCAGCTTTCCTGCCCCCACCTGGCCAACAATCACCAGGAGGAAGGAAGGAAGGGGTGCTTTGACCTGGGGAGGGCCCAGAAGGTGGCTGGTCCTTCCTATCCTGGGAGCCGAGCTTCAGAACCAAAGCGAGAACATTTGTCCGAGCTATAGCATGGGGTCAACACCAGGCTGGCCAAAACAGAGTCCAGTAGTCCCAAGGCCTGAGGGCCGAGTCAGGGGATTTAGATGGTCCTCGTCAGCAGCTGAAGCTGCCCAGGTGAGGACCAAGATGCCAGGGAAGACTGCACAAGCTGGCCAAAGACAAGGGTTGAAAGATGCCACAACTCTGCCCAGAGGCTACCATCTTCCCACCACCCAGGCGTTGGGTCCTGGCTCCTTTTTCTCACTGCCTAAATCCTCTCTGGATAGTACTTTCTTTGCCCCTAAAGCCCTTCGGGATCGGCCTGGGCTGAGCTGGCTGGGCTAAGCCGGACTGGGCTGGCTGGGCTGGACTGGGGCTAAGTTTGGCTGGACTGGGCTGGGGCTAAGTTTGGTTAAGCTGGGCTGGCCTGGTCTGGGGAAAGATAAGTTCTATTACCTCCCATGTTCTCTTTAGACCCTGCCCTCCCCCTTCCCTCTGTCTACTTGGAGCCTAAGGAGGGGTGAGAAGGTATCAGAGAGAGACTGGCCTTCAGAGAGCTGAGTGCTGCCTGCCCAAGGCCCTCCTTGCCCTGGGACATAGGCGTCAGGAACTCTCCCCAGGAGGCAATTGTCTCCATCACACAAAGATGGGTTCTAGAACTGAGAAGCATTACCTAGCACTAAATTGTTGGGAGGTCCCCAGGTGGCCAAGAGAGAGGGGGCTGGATGTCACAGTTGGTGGATACTGGAGGGGGAGCTCAGTGACGGGACCTGGGTGTGGCTGCCTAATCCCAACCTTCCCTGGGACCAGAGAGGTGAGGTCTAGCCCCACTGCACATAGCAGCTGCTGGAGAAGAGCTCTCTTTTCCCCAGCTGGAAAAGCTCTGTGTCTTCTGAGGAGGCACAGAGCCAGCCATCGGGGTTAGGGTCAGGGTCAGGGTCACTGTTAGAGCTAAGGACAACAGAGGGAGAGATGAACAGAACAAGAGAGGTCCAGCCCCTTCGTTCCTGGGTGGTCCGTGTTTGCTGCACATTCTTACCTCCAGGTGCTGATGGGTGGCCGTTGAGATGGGGTGGGCTGGCTCCTTCCTGGGCCTTTTCTGAGCATCCTCCACCCTACAGCTCCAGGGACCCTGAGATTCTGCAGAAGGAGCAGGAGTGAGCTCAGCAAGCAGGCCTAAAGCACTAAAGGTCCAGGCGAAAGGCAGGTGGGGAACAGCAGGGATCCACGACAACAGGACTAGGCCAGGCACCTTCTGCTTCTCTCCTTGGGCAGTAGAGGGAGCTGACAGCCCATAACCAGCACTTGCCCCCTGCCTCCACAGCGTGCACTGGTTCCCAGCTTCCTGGCTTCTAAGGCAGCTGCCCTTCTTTTCATTCTGGCTGGGACTCAAAAAGAAGGCGTGAATGGGGCGCGGCCTGGATCGGCATCTCCCCATCTGTCACCGCCATAACCAATCTGCAATAAACCTCCTTCTTTTCTTCGGGGCAGGACCTCCTTGCCTCCAGCCTCCTGGCTGGACAGTACCACATCATTAACATGACAGTCTGATAGTTTTAGGCTGCTGCTGCTGCTGCTGGAGGCCTCAGTCTCTCTTCAAGCCGCTGTCAAAGCAATGATGCAGGTGGGATCGTGCCCTCCCCTACTCAGCCCCCTACTCCGGGGGCTCCCCATCGCCTCCAGGATCCCACACTATGTCACCTTCCACCTGGAAATGTCCAGGACACTTTTAGAGTTATTCATGCCATTGGGGCCCCTCTCTGCTCACTACCCAACTCTGAAGCTAACCACCCTCTGCTTTCTCTCAGGAATCCTACAGAGGACACCATGACTGAAGATATATGGGTGGGCTCCTGGCGGCCCCACCACCCTCGGGGGCCCATCATGGCCCTGTATACCAGCCCAGGCCCCAAGTACATGATCCCAGGAACCACAGGTACCCAGATGCAGGCTAAGTGGAGGTCGAGGCTGAAGGTCTCTGCCTCATGGAACCCATGGTGGGGAGGGAGCTGGAATAGGGACCAAGTAAGGGTCGTGGGCAGGAAATTGCATCCCCATGAGAAGGGCCCATATTTCACAGGTTTCAATCCTTCCAGCCCCTAAGGGAGCCCTGACATGGGAACACCCCCTCCCAGGCACAGATGTCTACTCCTCTGCTGTGTAGAATTTAAGAGGTCCTGAAGCTGGAACCCTCCCCACTCCCCGCAAGCCCAGGACCGTCTCTAAACTCAGCTTTTTGGGGCAAGGTCAGAGGAGGACTTTAGCAGAGGGGCCACAGACTAAGTGGGTGCAAAGGAGAGTGAGTGCAATGCTCTTCCCCCCTCCCCAACTGGCAGGTTTTGTGAAGCACACCCCAACCAAGCCGAGGGCCCCAGCCTACAGCTTCCGTGGGGCCCCCATGGTCCTGTCAGACAACTACTCCCCTGGACCCCGCTACAGTGTGAATCCCAAGATGCTCCGGACGGGCAAGGACATGGGCCCTGCCTACTCTATCCTAGGGCGTTACCAGACCAAGACTGTCACGACGCCAGGCCCTGGTGAGTGACCTGCAGGGAGCGGCCAGCACTCCAATCAGTCTTCTCTCTCTCTGCCCTCCCAGTGCCCTCACTCTGTCTATGAGTCAGGATACCTGGGTTCAAGTGCTGGCCCTGACCTTCTCTTCCTTAACTCCTCGGTGCCTGGTTTTAGGGTAGGCAAAGTGCTCAGTGGTCCCTGAGGGAGGCACTTGGCTTCCTCAAGGGGCTACATAAACATGGACCATTTTTCCTCTTTCTCCCTCCTAGGAGAATACTCTCCGGAGAAATCCATCAAATATGTATTCAACTCAGCGCCCAGCCACTCCATCTCTGCCAGGACCAAGTCCTTCCGTGTGGACAGCACCCCAGGTCAGCACGGGAGCCCAGAGGAAGGGACCTTGAAAACTGAGTCAGAGACAGAGCAGTGGGGAATGAGAAGATACAGAGACAGAGAGGAAGGAGGAAGGCAGGAGGATGGAGAGAAGAGGGGGAAAGGAGGGGAGGGGGATGGAGAGATAGGAAGGAGGAAGGAACCAGAGATGAAGAGAGAGGGAAATAGAGACAGAGAAGAGAGGAAGGAGGAGGGGAGGGGAAAGGAGACAGAGATGAAGGGGGAAGGGAACAAAGACAGAGAAGGGAGGAAGGAGAAGGGCAGGGAGACAGAAAGAAGAGAGGGAGAGGAGGAAAGCAAGAGGGAGACAGAGACGAGATAAAAAGGGAGGGAAGGGGGAAGGAGATAGAGACAGAGGAGAGATAGTATTAGCTAAAATTTATATAGAGCTTGAAGGATTGAAAGGGGCTTTACAAACACTTCGTTTTATCCTGGGAGGTGAGTGCTGTTATTAATCTCATTTTACAATTAAGGAAACTGAGGCAGGAAAAGGGGAAGTGCCTTGCCAGGGTCACACAGCTAGTCTTATGTCTGAGGCCAGATTTGAGCAAAGGTCTTCCTGACTCCAGTTTCAGCACTCTATCCACTTTGCCACCTACCATCAATAGACACAGGTAGACAGACAAGCAGAGAGAGACACAGACACAGATACAGAGGAGCAGAGAAGGACAGAGACAGAGAGACACACACAGAGAGATCTTTCCCTGGAGCCCTGGGGGCAGCAAGAATGGTGGGGTTTTAGGCATGGAGAAAGAGGAAGGGGGAAAGGAATAAGTGCATTTAGGGTTAGGTTTAGTATTAAGGACCTGCTATGTGCTAAGCACTGTACTAAGTGCTTTCATATAACCCTGAAGACACTGGCCAAGCTTGGGGTTCTCCTAGATGGAGAGCTCCAGGAAAAAGGACCCAGAAGTTCAAGTAGAAAGTGTCAGCATGGGCAGGCTTGTGCAGGGAGGGGAAGGAATAGGTGCATTCCAGTATGCTGGAAGAGAGAACGTAAGTCTGAGATGATGAGGGTGAGCAAGTGTGTAAGTATTTGTGTGGGTGTGCAAGAAGGTGACTGGTAACTCGGAAAAGGAGCAATGTGTAAAAGAGTAAGAAAATGCAGGGGGTGGGAAAGGGAAAGAGATTCCATTTCATTCAAGAAACATTGATTAAGCACCTGCTGTGTACCAAGCTCTGTGGCTTGTAAGCACTGGACAAGCCAATATGAAGGCGACAACATGGTGCCTGCTCTCAACAAGCATGCAGTCTAGATGACCAACCAGGCAGGTTGTGCCTTGAAAAACAATAATCTTTGCACCCTGAAATGATCTGATCCTCTGGCAAAGTGCATTGCTTGGACCAACACCAGGTGTTCCCTAAGGAATTTAGCTCCCCAGAGTTGGGTAGTGAGCAGAGAGGGGCCCCGGTGGCATGAATAGATTGAGAGGCTTCAGAGCCTCATTCTACTGAGGAGATGCAGGTTTGCCAGGTTTGACAAATCCTTATTAGAATAATGCAATGCCAAGTGTGACATTCACATCACATGTGTCTCCTATTCTAGGAAAGGAGAAAGGAAGCCCAGATGGCTTCATGGAGGAAGGGAGCTCCAAGCTTGGTCTTAAAGGGTCTCCAAAAAGAGGAGAAGAGGAAGAGGGCATTCCGGGTTGGGGGAACAGCATGAGGGACAGTGTGGAGGTGGGCATGTACATAGCTTATTAAAGGAATAGTGAGTAGACCAGGGAGAATTTGTGTAAAGTGGGAGCAAGGGGAGAAGGGGGGCTAGTGAATAAGGATAGGGAGGGTTAGGACAACAGACAGAGGAGACCCTCAACTCTTCAAGACTGAAGAATATGGACTTAGCCATATGGGCAATAAGGAACCCTTTGTTGAGCATGGCAGTGACATGGCCATGTCAACCAGACCAGAACCAGCCTCTAATCTGGGAGTGGAGTCAAGACACAAATAGAAATTTAATTAATTTCAGAGTGAGGAAAATAGGAAAACGACATTTGCAAATGGAAGCTCCCCCTCCCCAGAAGGAGGGCTTCAGGCTGCTAAGGCTGGGGCCACTTACATACATGAAAGGGGGAGCCTAGAACACAATCATCTTAGATCTTGAGAGAGTTCTCATGGTTAGTATTTGCATAAATGCAAATACAGGTGTTTTGGGGTCCCGTAGGAACAGTCATTGTCTCAAGTCTTGGGGTTTGTGACCACCCTGCAAGGCACAGAACCAGAGTTCTGTGATGGAAACAGGAGTGCAGTACTTGTCAGTGACAAGGAACAGGGATTGTGGTAGATGGCCCTGGGAAATAAGGGGGACTAAATTCCTTAGTGAACACTGGGTGCTGGTCCAAGCAATATACTTTGCCAGAGGGTGAGATCATTTCAGAGCGCAAAGGATTATTGTTATGCCAAACGCAGGGCACAACCTGCTTTCTGGGCCTCAGTTCTGGAAAACAGGGTATCTCCAAAATATCTGACAGCCAGAACTGGGGAGGGGGCGGGATTCATCTGGAGGGTGAGGCAAAGGAGAGATGCCATAGAGGTAGAGTAGACAGGATGTAGGGGACAAGGCTCTGGAGTTTCGAGGTAGGGTGCCCTTGGGGAGAGAGGAACCCCAAAAGGAAGAGCTGGGTTTGGTCACTCGCTGCTGAGTGTCTTGGAGCAGCTGACCCAGGGTCTCCACACTAGAGTAGAATATAGTAACATTTCCTTCCCTAAGGATAAATGTAAAACTCAACTGCCTTTCAGACACCCCAAGCTGGGCATCCAATGGACATCTTAAACTCAACATGTCCAAAACAGAACTCATGATCTTTCCCCCTAAACTCTCCCCACTCCTCCCTGTTACTATGTAGGGAGGGCACCCTTATCCTCCCGTCCCTCAGGCTCCCAACCCAGGAGTCATCCTGCACTCTCACTCTTTCTGTCACCACCCCACCCAATGCAAAATGGTACCTGACTTCTTTTCATCTCTAAGCATCTCTTGTAGATTTCACCTCTAAGTATGTCTTGTCAGTTTCACCTCTGAGCATCTTTCATGCACTTCCCTGTTCTCTCCTCAGACATTGCCCCAATCCTAATGCAGGCCCTCATCCCCTCACACCTGGAATGTAATAGCTGCTGGGGGGTCTGCCTGCCTCAAGTCTCTCCCTGTTTTGGTCCATCTCCCATTCAGCCGCCAAAGCCATTTTCCTACAACATAAGTCTGATCACATCATCCCCCTACTCAGTAAACTCCAGCAGCTCCCAGGACTTCCAGGAGCAAATCCAAAATGCTGTTTGGCATCCACAGCCCCTTCATAACCTGCCCCCCCCCCACCTTTCCAGTCTTCTTCCACCTTTCTCCCTGATGCACACTCCGGGCTAGTGACCCTGGCTTTCGGGCTCTTCCATCTCTCAGCCCTGGGCATTCTCTCTGGCCATCCTTCAAGCCTGGCATCCTCGCTGCCTTCTCTGTTTTGCCTCCTCCTCTCTGGCTTCCTTTAAGGCCCAGCTCAACTCCCATCTTTTACTGGAAGCCTTTCCTAACCCCTCTAAATTCCAGTACCTTCTCTCTGTTAATTACTCCCTATTTATTCTGTCTGTAGCTTGTTTGTGCATGGTGCTTGTTGGCTCCTGGACGGTAAGCTTCTTGAGGGCAGGGACTGTCTTTTGCCCCTTTTTGTATCTCCAGCACTTGGCACAGTGTCTGGCACAGAACAGGCACTTAATGCGTGTTTACTGAATGATGATGAACACACGCTGGGTAAGCAGACTTCACCTGAGTACGGGATAGGCATTTTCTTTTCATTGCTAAAGCCCATGCCCTTGCTGTCAGCCCTCATCCTTCCAGACCTCTCTGTAACATGTGGGACTTTAGGCCATGGGCCCTCCCTTTCTGAATGCTGCTCTCTCCTCTTCCTTCCTGCCTGCCTGCCCGCTCTTTGGGATCTATTCAGAATTCTCCCCGTAGCCCCAGACTCTATGCCAGGAGTAAGTAATGAGCTCTCTTCTAGGCTCCCTTCTTTTTACATTGTCTAACTCTGTATTTGTCACTCTCTGTTTCTCTGTGTTTGTCTGACTGGCTGGTTGGCTGGCTCCCTGTCTCGCTCTCCACCTCCAGAGACAATCCCTTCTGCACTGTGACAGCTCTCTTTGATAAGAAATTTTTCCTGATAACAAGCTAAATCAACTTCTTTAAAACTTACCTTGGAAGGGACTTTGTAGGTCACTGAAACCAACTTGTCTTAGGACAGGCATCCCCTCTTCTGAGGCTCCTGGCTCTGCCCTCCACTCAACAGCCCACCAAATACTTGGAGTCAGCTCCCATTGTCCCCTTGACTCTTTTCCAGGCTAAACATCCCCATATTTTCTCCATTTTCATGACATGGACTCCACCTCCTTCCCTAGCCTGGTTGCCCTCCACTAGAAATGCTAAAGCTGATCAATGCCTTTCTTAAACCAAGATGCCCAAAACTGGAAGTAGGGATCTAGATGTGATCTGAGTCCTATAGTGGGATGAGCGACCACTCCCTTGTTCCTAGACCCTTGGCCTCATTAGTTGTCTGGCCTGCCATATCACTCTGTTGATTCATATTGAATCAATGAATGAATGAACGTATGTGAAGTGAAGTGAACATATGCTGAGCTCTGGAAATACCCATGGAAAAGTAGAGACAGCCCCTGCTCACCCTCTAGTGGGTGTGTATTGGGGTGGGGGAACAGCACTCAGGGAGTTTCTGCTCCAGGAACAATGAAGAGACTGGGTGTAGGGGCAGGGGCAAAGCAAAAGAGAATATAGCCTCTAAAGAGATACTTCACTACTAAAAACACCTATTTCTGATAAGGAACCACTTGACAGCACCAAGGACTTTGGGTAAAGGAACTTTCTTTTCTGAGTCCTCAACAGCTGTAGTCAGCAAGATGGGGGCTGCAGCCCCTGAGAGGAAACTGCCACCTCATATCATCACAGGAGTTGATTCTGGGATGATGGCTAAAAGACTGAGGC